AAAGCTGGGTTAACAAAGAAAGCTGTGTTGATTGACTGGGGGTTTAAGCTTTGTTAAGATAGCTAACACAAAGCAAATCTGACTATGTTGAACTTCCTTCGTAGTTGTGAACATATTGTATTGACTACAGAGTGATCATCATCTGACGAAATGAGGGTTTCTGACAGCACAAAAAACACCTTTTACATGAAGTACCTCTGTCTGAAAGTGCATACACATAGATTTTTAATATATAGACCATGAAACAGGAAAAAAACATAACAAAATACAGCAGTGAATGCGCTTATTGAAAGAAAAAAAACGTGTCTGATAACACAAGAAGTCCTACAGTGTTTCATTATTCCTTTTTGACTTTTATAAACTTGAAAAACTGAATAATTGTTTTAATCCCACATCTGAAAGTCTCACTTTCCAAAAATCCAGAGTCGATGTACAGCAGAGCTTCCTGCACTGTGCTATCGGCCCGCTGGCTGCCCTGACACAAACAATATCCGTCAGAGCAGTCTGGATATTTCCAGCCTGTCCAGGCTCACTCAGTGCTGCTGTCTGCTTAAAATCCAGCAGCTGCTGGATACATTCATATGCTATTTTTAATTTTAAGTACAAAAATAAAAAATATTCATGTGCACCAACTTTCAGGTAATTGAACCAGTACAAACTATTTTAATTATGTCATTTCGCCACAGAGGACTTTTGCTATTTTAGTGTTTAGTATGTTTAAGCATTCAATTTGTTAGAAATGTGAAGGATTTTGATGACAGGAAAGCATTGAGTCTAATTTTAAACCACTGAAGAGATAAATGTTCCAGGAAAAACACTCATCTTTTTTTTTTTTATTCACAAAAGTAGGGGGAAAAAAATAAACCCAACCAAGCTGTAGATGGTTGTGGATGTGATTTTGAGGAAAGGCTATTTATTTATTTAGATTAGCTGAGCTTGTCAGGACAGCAGCGCTCATATCAAGAGCAGTAATAATAGTATAAAATGAGGGAAACTGTCTGAATGAAGCTGTTGTTTTTGTGCTTCCTCTTTCAAAGCGCTTTGTTCCCCACCCCCCTATTATCAAGTTTGCTAAACTGCTCTGTCTGTTGCAGACTTTCACTGATCTGAAGTGAAGCTTGAAAATGAAGAACTGCATCTCATCATCATCAACATCATCTGCCACCTCAAGACAACAGGATTACTGAACACACAAACTCAGGAGTTTTGATGGCTAAAAACCACATAAATGTTGCTCAGGTTCCTTTAAACTGTTTCACTAACTGCTAACTCATCCACTGAGACACTGAACAAACTACTTGTATCCTTCCGGGTTTCTGGAGATAATGTATGATTATGGATGTCACACGCTGCCTTATCAAAAATTGAACTGCATGATTCAAGCTACATTATCCATGCTTTCTCTGTCACTCCCACATCTTTAACTTGTTAACATTCTCTTCCTATTCAGCGCCACAATAAACAAATAGTTTTGATGCGGTTGAGGAGCTGGCGAGCTTTAACACAGCCAGCACAAAGCCTCGCTTATAATACACAAGTTGTTGCATTGACAGGAGTTATTAGGGCAATACATATGTCAATACACACCCTCAGTTAAATCTACACCACCTGGAATCTTAACATGTTGTTAACCTTCTGTAAATACTATAAAGCTTCACTTGGATAACCTGATATGAGTCAGTTCTTTATTTCATCACATTATTTTTGTCCACTGGCTCCTTAATAACAATTAAACATGCGTGCAAAACACAGCAGCTATTTACTTAGTCACCATTTACCCCTGTTTCCATGGCACAGCAGGGAACACAAACTCCTGCAAGCTACTCTTGTTTTTTTTAATAATAATAATAAAGTAAAAAAAAATTACCAAAGACAAAAAACTGACATAGCTTAAGAAAAAAGATGGATGAA